CAATAAAAGTTCTCATTTGATTTAAGAGTTTTTTAGACATTTTTTTTTCAAAACACCAAAATGACAAAAAAAACTGAGTTATAGTCAGAACACCATTATAAATGAATGTTGAAAAATCTCCATGGATCCTGTGAATGGATTTTTTTATGCAAGGTCTCAAAAATTAGGTCAGACAAAAAAACATTTAGATCATATAATAATCTATAAAAATGTCTCAATACTTTTTTCCTAAGAGCCACCGTTTCTGAGATGCAACGATTCTAAAAGTTGAAAAATTTGTAATATTCATAATATACGTTTAAAGTTAAAAACGTTTAAATTTAAAAAGGTTTAAATTTCTCCGTCCTAGACTTGCCGTAGCCCTGACCCTAGCTCCCTTTTCCTACCCGCTTTCCTTGGTCGAAATTACCTTATTACTGATCCCGTTTGAAAACAAATTCATTCCCTAAGAAGATGCGAACGGCATTCGCATGAGGTAAACCACTGGCCATAAAGAAACCAGCCAGAACCTTTTCCGATGGTAAATATTGCGCCGATCCCGAAATAAAATTGGGAAGAAGGGAGGAAAAAGACATTTTTTTATGGAAGAAAAGGGCAGACGAGCAGATGAGTCACCTGATGGAAAGTGACTACCGCTGCCCATGAACGCCTGCAACACAGGAGTCATAAACGCGTTGCTGGTATTTTAGGTAGGAGTACGCTCTTTCCGCAGAAGATAAATTGTTCCACAGATTGGTTGTGCGAGGCAAAAAGTGTCATGAAAAGCGCACAGTGATGGAGCACCAATTATCCAAGGGGCAAATAGCGGCAAGTTGCGGCCGGTACTAGTCCAAACAATTCCTCGGAGCATCTCCATACGATAGAAAATGCAGAGTGAAGCTACATCTCTACGTAACGCCAAGGGATCGCCTTCGCAAAAGATCGGAGATCCTTGGGCTACCGACGATTCGATTGGCTCTTCGTTGTTGATTTCAACCTATTACCTATCCTACACATTTAAGTAGAGGGCAAAAATTAGCATTGCGATTAATAAATACGCATTTGACATCGATTTATTTAGATTAGCCAATTACATCGTGTGCAACCTGTACATATCATAGCGGTGAACCGTTCCACCATAGCAGATTTGTAACAGTGTAATTAGTATCATTATTGTACTGCAATGTACAACTGTGCTAACTAATATGCAATGAATTCAAGCATTGTTTGTATTAATTATGGGTTCCTGGTATTCATTATTGTTTCTGGAAACATAATTTATGCAACATACAAATGTACAATTGTAAAACATAGAACGATAAACATACATAGGTGTAGGTAACGGGAGTAGTAGTGATATACCTAATCAGAAGGATAACTCCGCACTATTAGATCACAAACACTTCAAGAACAATAAAATGTTTAATTAAAACTTGGATATACAATCTTGCAGTAGAAATTGAAGAAAACATGCAAACCCAAAGGGCAAAGTCTGAGAATACATAAAAATTAGCTAAGGCAGAAAAATGACACCGTTCAACGTAGCTAAGCGACATCACAACAATCCCACGCATGCGCGGTAATAGGGATCGGACCCAGTCGGTAATATTCGAGATGAATTATCGACTATCCGGTATCGAAATTACCTTTGTATATATAAATAAATAAGTGTAAAATAATGAAATGTAAACAATATAAAAGTGTGTAAATTAGGTGTGTGAGAATAGTGTAAGGTACACTAGATAGGTATTACTTAGATAGTTTTGTGTTAAATCTTATCCCTTCGTTAATCATTTGTTTGAATCATTTGTTTTGCATAGTCTACATAAACGTTTTCATCAAAGTTTTGTGAACAATATTGAAATTAAAATAGCATCTGTTTGAAATGGGCAAAATTGGTTAAGACTACTTACTTAGCGTGTCGGTAAGTAGCAAAAGAAAGTAGTGGTTCGTAATATATAAGTCGTGTTACAATAGTGAAGAAAGAAAGCAGACTATTATATCTAATACAAAACAACACGGGTTTTTCATACAAAAAAATAATTAATAATACTAAACGATCACGCCTGACACTTTTTATAATTAATGGTAATAACTGTTCGGACTTGAGACTTTTCTCAAGTAGGCGTCAACCCGAGAACAATAGACAACCGGAAACCATCTTGCGCCGGCGCAGCCCGAACAAAGGGTTATAGTCAGGTAGCTGGGAATCCGGCGCCGCCTTATCAGACTATATGACGAAGGCGATCATCCAATTTGACGTAGCATCGTACGATAATGGCGTGATTCGGTGTTGTGTTGAGTATGCACGGCTACTTGCTGTTTTTATAGGCCATTTCAACATGCTTTGATTAGCCTGGTATTTACATTATGTATCTATGGATGTATGTATGACGCATGCATGTAAGGTAATCTCCGAATGCGATTTTGACCCATTTAAAAACGTCGAATTAAATTGAAACTTTTCACACTTATCAATGACCGATGACAATGCAATAATTGAAATAGTTTGTTCCATTATTCTGATCAGGACCTTCAGGATTAACGACTTTTTCAAAACCTAAGAAACGGTAGTATCTTGTGCCACATACTTAGGCGTGAGCTAAAGCATATGTGATAAACTTACTTGTTACTTTTTTAGTCTTAATAAGATAATAATTATCATTAATGACTAAATAGGAGAAATATAGTTATTTAAATTTAATTTATTAGTAAATAGAATGACTAACTTTTGAACAATTTATAAAAAAAATATGAGAATTTAAGAGACTTGAGATTATTTTTATACCACAAAATTAATAAACACGCAGTTGAGAAATAGAAGAAGAAGTGAAGTGAAGGCTAATGTGATTTATGTGTTTCAAATGTACACTACACACATACTACACTACAATGTACGATTATATTAATGTAATACACTACTTACATCTTACATGGATCTCTAGTAAGCCTAGCGAACAGCAGAATAAAGATAGGAGCCTAGATAGAATATTAAGCCATGGGAGAACCAAGGTCGATCAGTTCTTGTATAAGTAATTAAGACAAAATCATTTTATTATGAAATAACTTGTTTTTGTTCTATCTAACAAAATGTTCGCACTACAGCCCACTAATAGGTAACAGTGTTAAATGTTTAGTTCCCACCTCTCTAATTCGATTTTCGTATCAAATTATCTGTCAAAAGCGTGTCGACGACAATGTTTAATAGCTAACCGTCAACTTCGTTTAATAATAAATATGCTTTTAGAGTTTGTAGATAACGAATTAATATTTTAAATGAACTCCCTGCGTGGTTTTCAATATGAGTCATATTTTTTATTTCATTACTGTCACTAAAATTTAGTATTCCAGTTACTCATTCGACTATTCGACTCACACTCTCTTATTAGAGGCCATATTATTACGTCCCTATTTTGAGATTTATGATTTTGAGTATAGACTACTAACAGTCTACACCAGCTCTAGTAATGCCATGAATAATAGTCCTATGTTGTCCATCACTCATAAAGTCGTAGGTAACTGTTACTTTTTATACTCGTAGTATACTTTAAGCGTAGTCTTGGTCGAGCACATTTTTAACTTACAACCAATATTGGTTTAAAAATGTGATGCTTGTTAGTTTAATAAAACCTTTTCTAACCTTACCTCTATATAAATTGAAACAATAAAAACTAATGAAACTACTTGTAACTACACTTGAATTTACTAATATAATTGCCTCGGTGGTGCAGTGGTAGCGTATGCGACTGCTGTTCTGAGGTCTCGGGTTCGATTCCCGGGTCGGACCAAATGTTTGTATGATCTGCAAATAATTGTTTCGGAGTTTGGGTGTTTTCTATGTAAAATATGTATGTATTTACAAAAGTATTTAAGTATTCTATCAGTCAATCTAGTTTTCATGGTACAAGCTCTGCTTAGTTTGAAACTAGATGGCGTTGTGTTTCAGATGTCCGAAAAATAATATATATTTTTTAAAGGTGTAACTTTGATAATATTAATTATGTATCGAACGTATAGTCTGTATTTACCTCCTATTTCTACTAACGTCATAAGTACAAACATTAACTTGTGCATTTGGTTAATAGCATTTTAAGGTATACTGGGTAGGTTTACATAGTAGATGGACTAGCTATTGCGTTTTAATGCGAAAAAGCAATTCGGGTCTATTACTGTAGAAATACTCTAGAGACGCGTATCCATTACATTCAAGAACATAGTAGAAAATGGTTTGTAATTTTTTTAACAACTTGGTTTTACAATCAAGCATTTATCAACCTAACTTTTAATACAATCACCATGCCTTTTTATTGGGTCACCAGAAACATATAATAAACTATTAATATTTATAATTTTAAAGGCAATTTGAAATGTTAATTTTTTATTTCATAAATATAGCAAGTTAAAAGTTGTGTCAGTGGGATGGAGTAACAATGTGGTATTTAGGTGCGGCAACTGATATCAGTATTTGCATAACAACTGCAAAGCTGTAAAGTAATATTTGGCACGAGAGCTTACCTACACAAAGTTGTGGTGAATGTAAAATCGATCCAGTTCATCGTCTCTGATAGTATCCGATAAAACGTTCGCACCTGTGCCTTTTATCTTTACTTCATTTAATGCCGGTTTACCTATCTTTAACATATGCGTAATTGGTAAAAAAAAAGATACAAGAAAGTGGTACACTAAAATTCCATAAAAGAAAGGGCAACGAACCCATTTCTTTATTCTATATCGGTCAAGCTATAACATAAAGTTTATAACCAGTCGCAAAATATAGCTATTAAAAGTAGTAGGTAAAGTAAGTAGGTATCTAATAAAATATTTCTGTTGACGAATATGATATGTATTCAAATATGTTTTAAGGGTATTCAAACAAAATATAAGAGTTACTAAATAATACAATTTCTTGAAAACTTTTGTGAGACAACAAATTCTGTTTGTTCGCAGGACAGACGCAGTTCAGGGGATGACGACAGGCGGTGAGCACGAACGGCGCGGTGCAGGCTGAGCTGTCACAGGGCATGTGGGTGCTGCTTATGCTTGCTCTGGCGGCGGCCGCCTCCGCCGACTGTCCGCGACATTGTGAATGCAAGTGGCGCAGCGGGAAAGAATCTGCCCTGTGTGCTCGTGCCGGCCTCACTTCTATCCCGCCGCGCCTTGATCCCACAACGCAGTTACTGGACTTAGCCGAGAATCGTTTACTTACTATTAGAGACGATGCCTTTGCCGCTGCAGGTCTCCTTAATCTTCAACGCCTCTATGTTCCCTCTTGCAATGTCCGAACTATACGGCAATACGCTTTTCGCGCACTTGTGAATCTCGTTGAACTAGATCTCTCCCGCAATCGTCTCGAAACAATACCATCACATTCGTTTGATTCAATCCCAGAGCTTAGAGAACTGCGACTCGGTGGTAATCCCATTACGAAAGTTTCGGACGAATCCTTTATAGCTCTTCCCCATCTAGTGAGACTTACACTGAGTGCTTGCAAAATAGCCGAAATAGAACCACGAGGATTCGCAGGACTCGAGTCTTCTTTGGAATATTTGGAGCTTAGTAAAAATCGATTGCAAGTACTACATGTGGCAGTTTTAGCGTCGTTACGATCTTTGAAAGGTTTAGAACTAGCGAGTAATCCATGGGAATGTACTTGCGCACTAAGACCATTGCGAGATTGGATGATAAGAAAAAATGTTCCAGCAACTGTCGTACCTGAATGTGCACTGCCCCCTCGCCTTATGTCTCAGTCTTGGGATCGATTAGATCTAGAGGATTTTGCTTGTCGTCCTGAAGTAAGTGCAACCTCGGATCACTTTAAAGGCACCGAAGGTGATGAAATAACCTTAGTATGTCGAGTGAATGGAGTTCCGGCACCGAGGGTACGATGGGTGCGGGCAGGACGTTTACTCGCCAATACTACTGCAAATAATGTCAATTCTGGTAGAGCTTTTATGTTACGTAGCGAAGGACAAACAAGTAATTTGACTATAAAGTCAGCAGATTTACAAGACGCAGGATCTTACACGTGTAACGCTGAGAACCGTGCTGGTAAAGCAGAAGTAGTGTTAAGTTTAGCCATAGAAAAGAAACCAGAAAATAAAAGTTTTGGGGGCCGTGCCCTAATGGCGGGAATGGCGGTGTCCGCAGTTATAGTGTTAAGTTCGTGTTTAGTAGGTTTATGTGTATACGAGACTCGTAAAAAAAGACAATTAGATAGATGGAATGAACAGATAGTGACGTCAAATCATCGTGATGATAGTTACGAAAAAATGGAAGCTAATTTTAAAAATAATCCCGAAATGCAACGGGTTATATCTGCTGACAGTGCTCGTAAAAGAGGGGACTATAGAAACGTGCCATCACATGACCCGGAAGATGAATTTGAAGGGTATATCAGAGGAGAAATGAGAGAAGACAGGGAATGCTCGGTTTCACCACCTCAAGAAGCCGGATGGAGGAGGGTGGACTTCGAATCGTCAAACACGAGGGGCAGTCTACCTGAACGAGATTTGCACATACCGCGGTTCAGCAACTATAATTTACGGTAATATATATTCTCATTATCATAACTAACTAACTTCATTAACATATTAATTGCATTAGTAATTTATTTATTTTCGAATTGTCAGTGCCAATTATTATCGATACGATAGTTCAGATTTAAATATATCATGGTTTGACCGTTTTACTTGTTTATGATGAGGACATCGAATATGGGAGAGGACCCGAAGTAACACGGTTCGGGTCCTTCCCGGAGTAGGGTGCCTGAGGCCGGCCGTCGGGTGGTTTTTAGTGCAAAGACCACATACCCGAGAGTCCTGCGTCCTTCAAGAGCCGAAGATCCGAAGGAATTTTCCACCTCGTTAATAAAATAAATGACATCGAATATAATAAACGTGTATTATAACGTCCACAGCGTGGGTACAATATCTGATCAGGGGACAATATGAGTTTTTCGATAAGGGAGTTGTATTCTATTAAATATTATTGCATTTGTATAGTTATTCGAAGAGAACAGTTGGTTAATATTATCTCAGTAACATTTTAATGTTGTACCGTACCTGCTATTTTCGTTTTATTGATAAAAGCAATTGGAATTGAGGTATACTTAAATTATGTATGCCGGTTTATGAACATTTTATAATGATTACCATGTTTTTTTTTTCTAAAATTGCTTAAATTTTACTTTTCTTGCTTAAATGTTACTTACAAAATTCATATTATGTAATTAAGGTGCGGTTATCGGCAGGCCCTATCAGTCCTATGTAGTACGTTTGATATGAAGCCTGCCGCTATGCAATTGAAAATTAAATAAATAAATAAAATATTTATATAAAAAGACCCTCACTAGAAATACGTAAAAAACATGCAACAGTTTAGTACATAAAACGGACACAAAGAACACCCAGAATCAGAACAACAACTTGTAGATCACACCACAATCAAAGTGGATGCCCCATATGGGGATCGAACTGTGGGTTCGCTCAGCGCAGTAGAAAGCGGCGATGTGACCGTTTAAGCCAGTAGACCGTCCGTGCAGTCGAACACAAATTTAAAAAATAAAATAAAAGAAATAAAATAAATAAATAAAAACTGTGAAAGAAAATGAGAAATCAAAATAAAAACGGAGTCTGAAATCCGCAATGGTTCCTAATCATGCTTTACATCATCACACGTCAGTAGCCTTATAGTGCCCAATAGTGCAACGTTGGACTCACCTTAGAAAGGAGGGTTTGGTCTACTATACTGGCCAGACGGGTTGGCTTATTTCGTTGGTTTGTATCAAGTTTTCCGTCACTTTGCAGTGCTGCTGTCCTGCATAGTTTGCTTCCTTAGTCGGCTTTTACGACACCCACGGGATGAAAAGATGGGGTGACACTCGGTATTCTAAATCCGTCACCACACCAATCTACCTTATCATATACTTATACTTCCTAACCACATAATTTGTTTACTTACAATCCCATAAACTATAGATGACTTTTTAATACCCAGCAATTTTATTGATCATTATGGTTCAACATTTAATGTAAAAGCCTAGAACCTGTAAAATCCTATTTAGTACAATATGTGTTACGGATTTTAAACGTTCTTGTTAATACAGGCTGAGCTCACAGTTTCTTAGTCTTTCTGTGTTGTAAATCAGCTTCTCTATTAAAAATTAAATGTTTTTTAATTCGAACAGCCTCGCGAAGCATCCTAGTGTTTTTAGCGAGTTCGTGTGATCTTCTTCGCGGTTTCGTTTGCACATGTTTAAAGTAAAATTAATTTCGTTTTGATGTTGTATGTGAAATGAGTAATAAAATATTCAAAGAATGTGTAATCTACCTTTATATCTCATTATTTTTTTTCAATAATGTATAAGATTTGTGAATTGTATTATATTGCAGTTTGTTAAAAAGTCTGAAAGTGCTTAATTTTTTTTGCGTGTAGTTAAAAATATTTTTCCGATGAGCATGCCTCGCGTGTGCTTTGGATTGACTAATTACGGCAGTAAGCTGGTCAAATAGAATTGAACCAACCTTGGTTCCATTTCTTCTTTCCAGAATTCGTCGTATTTTTCAATAAACTGTATTAACACTGGTTCACTTTGTGACACCCACGACCCATATAAGTATTTGTGGTGTCCTGTGATGTGTAACTGGCCTTGAATTTGATAAAACCAGTGACTATTTATATTTATCGTGAATGTTTTAATGTTTTATAGTACTTGATGCAGTCCTTATATGACAGCAACTAATGGGGATTACAATACAATCAGCATGTCATTCCCAATCAAGCCCAACCCAACCCAATAAATGAGTGTCATTTTTCAAAAAAGTCCACATGCATCAATTTTCAGTTGGCTTATAATATATTGCTCAATAGTAAATCTCGTCGTTAAATATTTTTTTCACACTGCATTAGAAGTTGTTTTGATTTTACCAAGTTCCAATGGTTACCAGTGCATCTATTATAGGCTGCAAGTCCTAAATCATCTTTTCAAATACGCGACAGTTTTAGGTGCTACATTCATTTCCCGAGACAATTTTTTTTTTTCGGACAGGATTTCATCGAATTCTTTTTTTCACTTCTTTTTTCGTACGAATACTACATACCTACAGATATTGTAAAACTATCACAGCAATATGTTGGCAAAAACTCCCAACAAGTTCTTTTTAGAATAACTTGAAATACAACTTTCATTAAACATTCACATTTATTACTTTTAATAAATAGTTTACGGAAAATTCCAATCAAATATTTGAATTTAGAATTTTTAAAGTTTATATAAATGTTTCATGGAAGTGTTATATTAACAATACTTATCGAGTAGCCGTTCCACTTTATTTAATTACAGGTAGTCTAATGATTTTTTGAGGTTTCACAAATAAATTCGATTGCTGCAATTAGTAATGCCATAAAAGTCGCTTGACACACGTGACAGTACTTCGCTATTGCGTGGATCGATTGGATGACCCTGGTTGATCATCAAACGTTTCATACATCCGGTTTTTATGTCAGTAAAGGCTTATGTTAAGCCAAGTGGCTAAATTAGAACTGATTGCGAACTAACTACGAATTAACGTGGGTCGAGGCGAGCGAGCCAGTGATGAAAATCTCCCCGAAGCAAGAGAGCAGGAGAGAAAATTAGTTCAGTAATTATTGTGTAATCCCTTGGTTTAATGTCTTAGACGTAGATAAAGGTCTCTGGACAATCGTTAAAGAAATAAACTTTAGTAGGCAATTAAACATTTCGTTGATATTGAATGTATGTTTTATTTATTTATTTATTCTTTATTCTTTTACAATATTTACTGACTCTTTTGACAATTATATAGGTATGTACATTTTACATCACAAAACATGTTCGGCTGGTACTTAAAATAGGTAGTACCTGAGCTATAAGTACCAGCAACCTTCCAATGACACAAATATACATTACGATATAATTTTTATATCATTTATCTAATCCTTTCACATGCCGTCCCCCGGACCGCCGGACCCCTCCTAGCACCAGCCCGCGACGTCGCAGGCACCATCCTCGCATACATTATCTATTTAGACAACGTCGGCACACGCGGACGGCGCCTCCTCGCACCTGGCCGTTATGGCGGGTGGAGGGGAAAACCCGTCCCGTCCAACCGCGGCCACACTCAGGGCGGCATGAGGCGCTGGAAAGCGCACCTCCACTGCCGGCGGAGGCGAATAGGGTTTGAGTGGAGATCATCCTCCCTGATCATACTTCGGCCAATGCACACGCCGCCTCCGTCGACACGGTGTGGTAGCCACGTATGGCTCTAACGAGCCGCCGCCTTAACCGTACAGTGCCATGGACCGGACAACCTCCGTGTATAGCCCTCACGTCGCGGTGCTGGGCCTACCCAAATTAGGCAAAAGTCGCCCAGGGGTAGACGCAGCACCAACCAGCTTTGGAGCAAGCCGTCGAGAATCAGGCCCCGGTACTTTATCTGAGCCTGAACCGGTACACAAACAACATTCTGATTACTGTGAACAGATGTGTGATTTTGCTATGAAAAACAAAATGGTGGTAACACAAGATATTACGGCTGCGCCGATCGCCTCCTCGGCCCGGCCCACCGGGTTTCCGACTCTGCCGCGTAGCTCCTTCAAGTCAGCAGTCCCGCCTCCACTCCTCACGTCAGGTCGGATTGTCGGATGCGACCTTCTCAAGAAGGGCCTTAATCAGGATCTCATCCTTTGCCCAATTTGCTGCGCTGCTGCTGTCTCCTTCTCCTTCTGGGCGACCCGTCCTGTTTTGGGTGGTCGGCTTCCGACACGAGCCCCTCTGAAGCTTGTTCCGACTTTGAGTGACGTGGCGTCGTCACTTGAGGCCGACTCGGACTGGCTATTGCCTCCTGAGCGTAGCTGGCGCCTTTTCCGGTTTTGAGTACCCCGTTGGCACTGCTCCGTAGCTGACGCCATGAGGGTGCTCGCACCGCTCCTTTCTGAGGCCGTGTCTGACACTGCCCTTTTCTATGTACACCTGACAAAATAGTTATCTGGGCATGACACACAAGGACATAATCATGTACATCATTTAAAAACTATCCATACTAATAATTATTATAAATGCGAAAGTGAGTCTGTCTGTCTCTCTCTCTGTCTGTTACCTCTTCACCACTTAAACGGCTAAACTGATTTAGATGAAATTTAGTTTAGAGATAGTTTGAGTTATGGGAAAGGATATAGAAGTTCCTGTTACCGAAATCATCAATTAATGTTTTAAAAAAGGGGTGGACATTTTTGTAAAGGCCATCAAAAAAAAAAAGGACTAAAAGAAATGTATCATTAAGTTTTCGTTAGAAAAATGTTTTGCATATTTAACTAATTATTCACCCCCTTAGGGAGTGAATATAGGGGTAGAAGTTTGTATAGAGAAAATCGATAATTTCTTAAGTAAGGAATAAAACTCAATATAATGTCAATAATCCTAAGATTCAAAGAATGTTTTTATTTTTTCATTAGAAATAAAAAATGTTTATGCATTTTTTAACAAACCCTTTAGGGGTGAAAAGAGGGGTGGAAGTTTGTATAGGGAATTTAAAACATCAATCACGTTTTTAAATTAGGAATAAAACTGCATTTTAATTTACTTTCCATAACATTGAAATAATGTTACCGCAGTTTTGGTGGAGTCCGTGTGGTGACGGATTAAGAATACAGAGTGTCACCACCCCTATACGACACCCACGGGATGACCCGTGGGTGTCGTAAGAGACGACTAAGGGAAAAAACTACGCAGAACAACAGCACTGCAGAGAGAAGGAAAACTTGACACAAACCCTATACCAACCCGTCTGGCCAGCGTGGTAAAGTAGGCCAAAACCTCCTTTCTAAGGAGAGGCTTATGTCCAGCAGTGGACTATTAAAGGCTGTTGATGATACCGCAGTTTTATAGGTAACAAAATTTTAGTAAAGCCCCCGCTACAAGTAGTTAGATACGGTTCGAGTAGGCATTTACTTAGTTCCTGTTACATATTATAAATATGTACGAGTAATATCTATTCAAACGATTACTATTCCACACAAGCGGCATTGTACTTACATTATTTTACCTTATACCTTCCATATACTTACATCAAACGTTACTTACGGAATGTTTTTGAGGCACACTTCGAAGGAGTCGAGCCTGGCCTGTCGTGTTTAGACTCTCGCCCATTATTTTGTTCGTCTCCGACGGTATTTTAAGCACTATATTAGATTAAAATATAAAAATGTAACCTAAAAGAGGTAGGTAGGTATTGGTTTCATATATTTAAAGATACATTCGTAAGGTCACATAACTAACATAACAATATGTCATAGGTTTTAATATTACTATCTTACTCATTATCATAAAAGCGAAAGTTTGTATGGATTTTTGTTACTCTCTTACGCAAAAACGGCAGAACGGATCTGGATGAAATTTGTTACAGAGATAGATTATGGTATGTATTCCACACCATAATAAGCATAAATATTTTTATTCTGAAAAATGTAGTGTTCCCTTGGGATGTACAAAAACAATCGCGGGTAGCACCGCGGGCGCAGCTAGTTGTAATATATTTGCTTTTGTTCGAATAATATACATTACCACAGTAAAAAATCTCAAATAGCCGCGATATTTAACCGCTGCTACTAAGTAAATGGTTGAATCAAAAATTTATAATTTTAGATCTTTGAAATAACGCAAAAAAAATGTCGTCTTTTCTTGCTCTATGGGCCCCGTTTTAAGTTTTATGAGATTTTAAAATACCAATTTTGTGCATCTCAATTGTCCATCATCTCAAAAGTAAAAAAGACAATCAAAATCAAAATAATTTGATTTCAATTGCTTTAAAAAGCGTTTCTGCTTTGTTAGTGAAATAGGCTACTTTTATTTACGTTACTGTACGTTGTGATGGTGAAATGTTAATATATTGTATATATTTAAATAGCTTGGGCACTTTTCTATAGCTATTTTTGTAACCTTTTAACTTAATGCTATTTAACTTTTAGTAGTACCTACTCGATAAACAGCATTATTATAATAATACAAACTTTGTCCTCATTTAAAGTAAATATAAAGCATGTGTAATTATTAAACCAAAAAAGTAATGAACGGACTTTGATTGTCATGACTAATAACGTTACAAGGAGTAATTTAGTTTTATTGAAATTCATTCAGCTGTGTTAATAATATTATTTAACCAGTAATCGAAAATAATGCGAAAACCAAGCGGTCCGTGTTTATTTCTAGATTCTATAGCTAAGCTAACATAGCTATCAAATTTCTTCTAATGTAGATGACATTGGAATTCACCAAGTTACTTATTTTGTAATTTTATCAAGCGAAGTAGGATAATCATTGTAATTGATTTTTTTAAACATTTAGTGGATGTACATAATGTATATACAGGCTGGAAAGGAACGAAGACGAGTACGTTTATTTCACTTGAAAGATATCGCACAACTTTAACAGAACTCTAAAATTATTGGACTACATCTAATAATAATAATGTGTGTTCATGGCAATTTAGGTATCGAAGTTTTGTAGTATTTATAAAACTAGTGAAATTTTTGGCCCCATATCTGAACGTTTCCACACAGTATAGAAGTATATTCTTAGGGCACCTCGATATATGCGGCATTAATTGCACATGTTCTATTTAGTGGAAACTGAATCAAGGTGTATATTGTTGTTCACCATTTTGTAACGCGTATACCTGTTAAACTGTTATAGTTATAAAGAGAGAGGCATAAATAATGAAAATGACTTATGATTGTCATATTGCTTTTAAGAATACTTTAGAAAAGTAATCAGTAAATTATAAAGTTAAGAAGATAATTATGTGTCACACAATGTATAATAATAAAATACTTTAACCATATTAGAAAACTACGACAGTTTGCACAGCTGGATACGATGAATAAGGATTTAGGAACTGTTTTTTTTATGGAGACATCTATAGATCGAGCAGATTTATTGAATCTTCTTCAACGTACATAACTTTTATTTCACACTTATTCAAGGGGATTTCTTTTTGTTTCAGATCCGATGCTACGTCAGATTCAGTACAAAGTTCTAATTCAACGGGAATTATGAGTGCACATATAGAAATACTGTCTGAAAATAGTCGGTATAACAATAATAGCCGTACTTGTCCACGCACCCGGCCACGTGAGCGGCTAGACAATGACTTGTCTGGTAGTGACAGTGAGAAGAATTATCCAGATCTCATTGAAATGAGCGCTCTTGGTACCTCTTCCTACTTACGGAGTGAACTGAAACATGACCCTAACTATTTTTACACAATACCACGAAAAAAAGACGGAGACAGTCGAAGCCCACTTCTGAATAGCCGTAGAAATAGTTCAGGTGCGGACTCAGCAAGTTTCTTGGATAGGTCATTTGAAAAGAGTCGGCAGAGAGCTGGAAGACGTTCAAATAGTTTTTTAGATCTTTCCACGGGGGGGAACAGAATACGTCGCAATCCTAGTTTACCCGCATCTCCATCGAGAGAACAGCCAACCGTTCCTTCGGCAACGCCACTTTTAGATTTGTCGGGACTTCGCGATTATTCTCGTACTGGACAACCGTTAGAGGATTTTGATTTCCGAGCTTCACAACTCGAAAAATTTCTTGATGAGTATAGAACTTTGAGAGAACAGCTTTCAAGGATGAAAGAAACTAGAGAAAATTTACAGCGAAATCGAGCCGGAGAGAACGATGAACTTAGGTCAATTTTAAAACCAAAGCCAAGCATAGCTGTCACAGAGACGTCTTCTTCGGTAGCTTTAGCAGATGCTGCATCCCCATTGGCTTTAAGCCCTTCGGAGTACAATAAGGCATCACAGCCTAGACCAGAGTGGTTGACGTCATTATTTTATCGTAACTAAATAATCTTATTGTAAATAGTAGTACGTCTGACTTATAGTCAAATATGTGATTTGAATTGGACAACCTTTGTGTTATGTTGTACAATTCTAATTTAGTAGAGTATTAAGAGTTTGTAAATAAATACGTACATATTTGAACTGATGTTGATGATAAGTTACTTAAATAATAGTTTCTAAGAAAGTGACGACTTAAAATCATAATTTATAGTTGAAATAAAGATTTTCAATTATCTAAGATGGTTTAAGTATTTACTCACTAAACATTCGTTTTTTTTGTGAAGTGAGGCGAGATATGTGTGGAACAAACTTGCTGCACCAAGGAGGTAACTCCACAGTTTGAATCAGAAAGGGAGTCAACTTCTTATTTGGATTAATGAAAAGAAAATCGTATACATTCTGACCGCATAATATGCCCGCATATTACGGTACGTAGTGGTTTAATCGTACTTATATACTCATTACAAACCTATCTTACAATAAAAATGGTTAAATAAATCCTTTAAAAAAAGTTTAATCGACTTCAAGCAATACTAACAAAAGTATAATAAGTACCCTCACTATAACAAGTAACATTATGACAGTAATAATCCCTTCTAGTCTGTTTGAAGTCTAGCCTAATACATCGCATTGGAACAGATCAAAAAGATTATTTATAGAAATCTTAACTAATATTATAAATGTAGATGTGAGTTTAAGGCCTTACCGGATTATCATGAATTTTCTTCATATATGTTGTTAGGGGTACACAAAACAACATAGGTTACCTCTAATCCAGAAAAAAGTAATTTCATGGAAGGATACCTAATATCACATGTAACATGAAGCCGCAAGTAAAGTAAGTGACGTAATATAAGAGCGCTGAGTGTTAAGAATAAGTTAGTGAACATAACATAATACACTACTGGTAGTGCCATCGATTTGTTCCTGACAGGTAATAATAATAACATATTTAAACGTTGCTGTGTTGGTGCAATCGATTGGGATTTATTGTAAGTTCATGTATGCGATCAACTTTATGACACGTGGTTTCATTCTCACTTAATGAAATTAAAGGTTATATTGGATATTTTTGTGTATCTTTTCAATAAACTAATATTCAAACATGATATATTTCATTTAGTAGATAATATTAAGTAATCTGAAGTTAACAAATAATAAACAATATAATGCCTATTTTCTCTCGTAAAAAATATTCTACTAAGTGAAACCTCACAAGTAGGGAGTATGTTTAAAAATATTGCCTACACAAAAGTACCAGTACTCACATAACAGTAATGAAACAAAATTGACTTTTTCTATTTGTGTGTGCAAGGAAGTGGTTAAAACATATTTTCAAAATTTACTTTCAACATTCAATTTAAAAGCAGTTTGAAATATCCCTTGGGCTTTCCATAGCATTTCATTTATAAAAATACAAAGTGTGTAGTACAGTGTTATCTATGTTAATAAAAAAGTAAAAGCAGCTACTACTCGACGATTACGTGTATGAAATCGGGGAAACGACTTCCAAAAGCTTCCAAAGTTGATATAAAAAGTTCTGACAGGCGCTCTACTCGTTAGTGTAGTACATTATATGGCTGGGAACATGTAGGTATGTCACTGGCGTGTTTCGCATAGTTGTTTTATGGGAACCAGCTGTGGAAATATTTTGATTGTTTCCTTCTCGGAATTCTATCCGCTGAGCCATAAAGATTTAGTAGTTATAATATATATATTTCTATCATTTCGACGATACATTTATAAACATCTTATTTATTATTAAATGCTATTTCATTTAATTCGTAACTTTTAATTGAAATTATCAACTGTATGGCTCTTATTATAAAGTAATATTTATTTGTAAAACAAGATGACAGCATTAAGTTTAAGTTAGTAAAATTTAATTATTCAAAGGCCCTGCAGGTATTAACAAAGTAAGCAATATTTTGTTAATACCTGTGGGCTTTTCTACGACACGGCGGCACCTTTTAAAAATGAAACCTTTTATAAACTATATTACTAAATACATAAATATAGCCGAGCCGTGGTACACTATAAATATGATTTTAACCTAATACATGATCAGAAATTCGTGGATATCCCTTTTGCTGTCGTAGTTTTGGGTAAAATGGTGACTTCTGAAATTCTTTAGTCATGAAATATTAAACACATTATCACAAACGATTTGTCATGTGCGAGTGAACTGCGTAGATTACTCCACACATTTTACTCGCACTCGAATGCCTTAAGGCATTTTGGAACAAATGTAATGGCCTTCAAAAAGGTCAAGTACCCAATGCTCGCGTCTGTAGGGTATGTATGAATGAATTTTGAGACTGTTTATAAACCGAAAATGCACTTCAGAGAATCTGAAGAGGTATGTCTTTCTGCAAGAGTTCTATCGAAAAAAAATGTTTTTTATTCTCAGCACTGGTTTGCTGTTAATTACATACCTATGCATACAGTACAGAACTCATATAATTGAAGCTTTTTAACCATAGCCCAAAAACTGAGTGTAATGATTTTAGGAACAATGTATATATATATATACATATGTGGTTTCATTAATTCTCCATAACTTCTAAATGCCTGAACAGATTTTGGTGTGTCCCGAACGATACCAACTATATTTTTTAAAGAAATCATGGGGCAGGTGTATGGTATGGCAAGGCAGTTTTGTTTTTTAATTACAATAATAATAATACTCCACACATCTCACATACGGCAGTTTGATCCCAAAGTAGACAGAACCTGTATTATGGAACCCAATCTGCTGATACACATACTTAAATATTTCTAAATACATATTATAGATAAATTACACCCAGACACAGAACAAACGACCATGCTCATCACACAATATTTGTCCAGTGTGGGAATCGAACCCACGACCTCCGGCTTAGCAATCAGGGTCACTAACCACTAGACTAAGTTTTCATTATTAACTTATCAGTTTTTTTTAGGGATAATCTTTATTTTACAATTATTGTTAACACTCCCATACATCGATATACATAACAGTCACTTATCCAACTGCAAAATATAAATTTGTAATTGCAAAAATATTAGTTCACATGAGGATACCTACAACAAAAAATTAACAGCTTTTTCTCTACTTATATGGTGAAACATTGCTTCTTGCTTATTTTTACCATTCTAGGTATATGAGAAGTAGCCTATAGGTTCTTAGTTACCTGTGCAAATTGCTTAATATTTGAGATTTTATTGGCTGTATATTTTGAATATTATGATTATATGCCTTCAAAACTTTTATTTTCACTGTTTTAAAAGGTCCGCGTACTTAAATATTTGATATTATTTTCAACTTGATATTACCGTGCATTTTCATTAAAAATGGCAATATGTATTCAAAAGCTTTTGAATGCATTTCAATTGGCAACCACATTATTAGAGTAATAAGTATTTATTATATCGATCCACTGAGTACGACAGTAGTAGTACATATTTTCTTTTATACTTAGAGACTTAAATTATTGGAGACGATGAAGTTTTCAAAATCTGCAGTCAATGTTGTATTGCACTAAGCACACGGCGAATGAAAGTAATGCACGCGTAATACCTACATTTGGTATTGCGAATAACAAGAACATCGCTGTGCTGGAGATGCTTATCTTGATTTTCTACTCAAGTAGACTTTTTTCTGCATAAACCATTTCATCATACTTACTATATGTTAATTATATATAGTGTAGCCAATATTATCCTAGAACAAGCTCACTCCCATAAAATTATATTCTTTTAGTTTAATTCGTGTAGTGGGAGAAATTGTATATGTTGTGTATTTTTATATAATTGCCAGATTCAGTTGTTGTTTTCATTGTATATTATGGTTCAGCATGACTTCAATTCATGATCTTGATGATTTGGTTAAGAAGTTATCAAATAAACTGTAAAAATAGATCTTTGCGACAAATAGTCGTATAAAAATGATGAAACGATTTTGAAGCATATGCTTTGATCTGTCGAATGAAAATGAAGGAAACGTTTGACCTTTTTATCTAATGTCACTTCAGGCCAGGCATTCATTGTAAAGGCTCCTCAAAGTAATGATCCATTCTTTGAGTCTTATTCTTTTTATATGTACATTAACATAATATTTAATATGTAACGCTACAAATACAACTAATATTTCATTCAAAATGTGTGTGGTGAAATCGGGCAATAGACATTTTTATATTAAAAAATTGGCGCTGTTTAAGTTCTTAGAACCTTTGCTATTGCATTCATCTATATGGTAGTTTGGATTAAGAATATTTCTTAAAAGACAAAACTACTTCTGTAAAATATAAACGAAATATAAATATAATTAATAATGGTCAGCGAAATTTGAAAATGTTTAATATTCTTAATCTTTGTTTCTCTTATTTGGTTATCCAAGTTATCAACAGTTAACGTGTCACATGGCGGGATTATTTTGGTTTCAATATATTTTGAAGCTAAATATAGTTTGAAAATGTAACATATCTTCAAGATGTTAGCCGTAATCGATAGGCTACAACGGCAGTTCTAAGGAGCTTATTGCTGCATAACAAGCTAAACGGGCAGACGTCGTTGACGCACCTCTCAAATGATGTTGAACTTTGAATTCTTTGTCTCAACTCATAAGTTGAGAGTTTAGTAAGTGGTGTAACTTTTAGCAATCTGTATTAGCTTGCTAGCTAGCTCCGACAAACGTAACATTAAAAGAGACATTATTATTACTATGTTGATTATTTTGTATTTTATGTTATATTGTCAACCTTAAACATTTCAATGCGTAAACATTTCTATTTTAGTTATTACATAAGTATAACTACGTGGAAATGCATTAAATTTTTCAAAGAAATTAAATTAAAAAAAAAACAACTTAAAATAATTAAAATAATGTAATAAAAAATTTAATATAATGAAGATAAAGTTTTTGTGGTATTGATTGATAGTGAGTGCAAATTCTATTTACTTACTTTTTTATCTTTGCATTGATAAATGTTGTTTGTTTTATTTTCTTCTACATTTATTTA